TATCTGGATTTTTATTTGATTGTAAATATTTAATTTTATCTGTGACCCATTGGTTGTTAAGGAGGGTGGTATTTAATTCTCACGTGCTTATGGAATTTTTGTGATTTCTTATGTCAATAACTTGTAATTTCATTGCACTATGGTCAGATAATATGCATGGAATAATTCTAATTCCTTTGCATTTACTTAAGCATGTTCTATGTGCTAGTATATGGTCTGTGTTGGAGAATGTCCTGTGTATAGCTGAGAAGAATGTGTATTCTGATGTTGTTGAGTGGAACACTCTTTAAAGGTCTTTAAAGTCCATTTCTTTACAAATTTTGTTCAGTTCTTTTTTTTTCTTTGCAGATTTTTGGTCTAGTCTATCTCTTTGTGATAATGGGGTGTTAATATCTCCCATTACAATTGTATTCTTGCTTATTTGATTTTTTTCATGTCTGTTAGAATTTGTCTTACATAGTTGGGTGTTTCTGTATTGGATGCATATGTATTTATTGTTTTTATCTCTTCCTCTTGCAGTTTTCCCCTAACTCATATGTATTGATGTGGAACAATGTAAGTATACTCTGTCTTCACATTTCAACCACTAATTTTTATAGCCATTAAAGGTTTCCTTCTTGGAATCACATTACTTTAATGATGATTGTTAAAGGATAATTTTCTATTTGTAACATATTTTATGTATTTTTTCTTGGCATATTCTAAAAAACAACAAAAAATTTTATTGTTTTTTTCTTAAGATACTTCCTATCAAATTTTTTTTATTATTTCTATCTATGGATTGATGGCAAGTTATTGTTTCCCTGCTCAGAAAATAAACACCAAAGGGAATTATGATTTTAGCTTATGCAAATTACTAGATTGACATTTTTTATGCTTTCTTCTGAATTGTGGTTTATTTGAACATGTGTACAGTAGATAATGTTGATAACCTTTGTGGGAGGTTGGTACATGAATATAACACATCCCAATCCCTATTTTTTACACCACCTGACCCCTGGAATATTTCTGGCATTTTACCTTTTGGTATATTTTTGATGTTCATCAAGTTTACATTCCTTATGTGAAATTGGCACCTATACATAACTTACTCTAGTTTTGTTTCTCATGTTATCCCTTCTGTCCTTCCTTCTACCTCCATCTCTGGATTGTCTTCCCTGCTGAAAATTATCTATCTTCCTCCTCTCTCTTATCTATCTTACATTTTGCCCTTCATTTTTACTCTTGGTTTCTTATGTTACACAACAACATTATACTTAAGCTTGTGTGTCTGATTTATTTCACTTACCATTATGGTCTCAAGGTGCCTTTTAAAAAATCTACACCAAGTGCCCAAGTGCTGCTCTGTATATATGACTAGTGAGTTAAAAGAACATATACTGGATCTAATTTGTAAAGTAAATCCCTTTTTCATGTGCCCAGGTAGAACAGGCCTCACAACTTTATAGAAAGGTTTAATTTGGCTTGTGTTTTATGAAGGTCCAATCGATGCTTGCGAGGCTCCAATCGTCATGTGGTAGGGTATGGTACAGCAAAGCTGATCATGTCACTGTAGCCAAAAGCAGAGCATGAGAACTGCATCAGAGATTAAGGCATCAAGGGGATCACATGTAACTCCCTAAAGCAAACCTGATGACCATGAAGATACAACAAATTTATATTTTAAAAATTCTCTAGGCAACTCTTAAGTCAAGCAACTGACAGTCAACTTTCTGTCAATTTAACTGTCAATTTTCAACCACTTTTTAACTTGGTTCCCAAGCACATCTCCTTAAGTCACACTAAGTCTCCAAGTAACTACAAGATCATAATTACATTGGCAAGACATAATTTTCCCAGAAGCCCCAACATATACTTATGTTATACCAAAACTTCAAGAACATCTCAAAATTTCAAGTCAAGGTCTCTGTTAAGACTCAAGGCAAACTCTTAGTTGTGAACTTTTATACAATTGAAAAAGCAGGTTACTTAGTCCCAAAATATAATGGCAGAAAGAAGGGAATTGGGAAGACATAAAGAAATTGGACAAAAGCAACACCCAATCTTGTAGGGCTCCCTTGGTCTCTCAGTGCGGTCCATTGTACCCAAGGAGAAACAGAGGCAAGAATGAAGAAAAGATAGACAAGAAGTCAAGAGCTTGGTTAGGTGGTGACTCATATGCCTGGTTGATAAACCAACCCCCTGGACAATAACAAGAGCCTTTATTTATACTTTTACAAAGTTGCAAGACACAAGGTTGCCTAGCAATTACTAGCCCATGCAGTCCATGCAGGATTTTCTTTTTTTTAAATCAAGACTGAGGTAGCTTGACTATTTTAGGCAATGAAGCCCCATCCTGCCCTCCCACAAAGGGTCAGTTTCCAGTTTTAGTGGCTCTCAACACAATTCCAATAAGAGAAATGTTAAATGTTTTACTGCCACATCCTATTTCCCAGGCAGACATAGTGTGATGTTAGTTCCAAAGGGCTTGAACAGCTCCAATCTTATGACTTTGCTTGTGCAGTCCACATAACATCTTTCTCAGGCTAGCTTTACTTGTTGCTTGCAGTTTTCCTTGGTTAAAAGCTCACAATTTGGTATGCTGTCTCCACTGTATCTTCTACTTCTCTGTTACAGCTTGGTATACCCACCACTTAGGTATATTTTACCTTGCCCTGCAGGCTTTCCTTTGAAATTTGGGTGGAAGCCACAATGACCCGACAAGTCTTATATTTAAGATGCCTGAAAAGCAAGCATCATGTGGACAATGCAGCTCAATCAAAGGACAGGTCTTCTGTTCCATGACTGAGTATCTGGATGGCTGAGAATATTGAAATGATTTCTGGGGAGCCAATTCATACATAGCTGTTCACTGGGAAGGGGCCCACAGGCTCCTTCCACAAATGAAAAATTTACACATTTGCAACTGTGAGCCTACAATATGTCAGGTGTTGCACATTCCTGAGATGCCCTTGTCTTTATTTCTGTCCTGGTTAAAAGTATTTGTTATCTTTTAATATTGTTAATATCAACAACCATACTATTATTCATTCCAGCAACACATGCACTCCAACTCTGGCCAAACTACACATTTTAAAGTTATTTAGTATTCCTTGTCACTCTTTTTTTTTCAACCAGGAATGGAGTTCAGGAGCTCCCACTTGCCAGCTAGGTACCACATTGCCTGGCTATATCCCCAACCCTTACTCTTGATTCTCTCTGGATAACTGGCTAAAAGCATTCAGCGGTACTCATGCCAGATCCTGCTGTTGAGCACTCTTGAAATTTTTTCCAAAACATTGTTAGTCTACCACTTTTAAATTTGCCCTTATACAAATTATTAGGATGTACTCAAAATGTGGACACATTCTTTTTCAGAGTGGAACACAAATCCACTAGCCTGATTCCCTATGGAGTCCTAACTCCTGTATTAAACCTTATGAGCCTGGTCTTCACTACAGCTATTTCTGTCTATCCCCAACCCATCTTTAAGTCTCTACTAGAATTGTTCATCAAGTTCTACATATAGCATTCTAGTACTTCTCCAGCACAGCCCAGCAGACCATTCCAAACTTCTTCTATAAACAAAGACTCCTGAGTCATATGGCCAGGCAGACCCAGCAGTGACCCAGCTTATCATAGCACTCTTCTGCCCTCAAGCTTCTGCTTTGGAGTCAGATGACCGTGGAATGAAATTCTGAGCTATAGCTGCTACAAGGTGAATCTCTTCTCCCTAAATATATAGATGCCCAACATTTTGTACCACCAGTGAGATAGCTAAGACAATAAAACTGGTTCTGGGAAAGAGGGTCATAGCTGTGTCTAACTGATCATGTGGTTCCCAAGGCTTTGTTTAGGGAAGAAGTTTACAAGAGTCTACAGGGGTGCTCTGTGAATAAAATCTAAACAAAGCTTTGAGGATAAGCCTGGCTTCTCTGGATTGTGTATAGGAAAAATACATGAAGAGAAAAACCAACTAAAGGTATAAATTACAATCAAAAGTGAGGCCGAACTTTAGAGTTGGAAAAATTTCCAGTTTGCAAAAATACAGGAAAATTTTGGAGAAAATATCAAGGGCTTTGTCTTCATTACTTTTCTTTTGTTGCTGAGATGAAATGCCCAATACCCAAAATTAAGAAAGGAAAGGCTTATTACCTCACAGTTAGTAAAAGTTTCAGTTCATACTTGGCTGGCTCCAAGGCAGAGTCACAGCAGTTCATGGTGGTTGAAAGCAGCAAAAAACAAGAGTCAAAAGGAAAGAGCAGTGGCTGTGGCTGTTAGCAAGTGTCTCTCCCTTCCTTATACTGTATCCAGGCTATCAGTCCTGGGCTGGCTGTAGCACTCAAGCCTATAATCCCAGCATTGGATCATGAATTAATCACAGACTCTAGAAACTTGCCCAACAATTACATGAGTCTTTAGGGAGACAACTAGACACAGACCATAGCAGGCTTGGCCAAAGGAATATTTGATTCATCAGTATGACCAGAAAGACACCAGATACTATTTAACCAGCAATGGAAAATTACTCTGACTTCATTTAGAGACTCCTTTGACTACTACTTTTATCACAGGCCCAGAGACTCAGGTTCCTGAGGGCAGAATTTCTTTAGAAAAGGGCCCAGGGAAACCATGAGAACCTAGAATTTGCATCCTAACACTAACTGGCTGGCAATCACAGGGACCTGGGTTCAGTCCTAGGCACTGTATTCCATGCAGGCCCCACACTGGGTTGCTCAGCTGGCCGCCAAAACTGAGCATGATGGTACACATCTATAAACCCAGTGCTGAGGAGACTAAAACAGGAGGATCACTGAGTCAGACCCGAGTAGTGAGACCTTGTACCAAATACTTAAAATTAAAAAAAAAAAAATAGTGCTTCTTTGCTCCATCCTTAACCCTTAGTTGGGGGACACTTTAAAAATGTGTTATAAACCACCACTGTCACTGAGATTAAAAATTAAACACACACTATAGTTATTGGGATTAACTTCATTTAATTGTTAATTTTCCATGTTTGATAATTTTCACCAATGTGAACACTGAACTAGAAGATGTTTGCCTTGTCCTGGAATTTGCGTGGGCTTTGATGATATTGGGCAGGTTTCTGCACAAATCTTCCTTGCAGAGTTGAAGTAAAGAAGAAACTGTGGATCAGTTGCAGTTTATATCAACTTAAAGAAAGATTTACGCTTCTACATGGGGAAGAAAAGGGAAGAAATGAAAGTCACAACATAGCTATCCCAGATATGTCACTACTTCTAAGCCTCATTTTGTGTTGTTCTTGCCACCATCAACCAGTTGGAAATGCCTCTCATTTTCTATCTGGCACAGATAACGGCTCGAGATCTAGTGAAACCAACACCTCCACTTTCTTGGCATGCTTCTTTCCCTGAGTAAGCTAGAGGTGAGGTCCGTGGTTCCATTTCATCTTTGGGATCTGGCACTTGATGAGTTATTCAAGCTGATATGACACTGCTTCTCTTGCGCTTGCCCTGTCTGTTTGTCCTGCCAGTGTTGTCCTCAACTGCCTCTTGGACATACTGGGGTTGTGAAATGTTGTTGGCCTTCACACCTATGTTGAGAACAGTGGCTGCTGGAGTCCTGCTGGGGCTGAATGGGAGTCTCCCACATGAGTTCATTTTCCATAGGGTGCCTATATTGTTTGATCAACTTTTCATGCTTGTCTCTTGTAATATAAGCAAATGATTTGAAGATAACAATACACAAGGACTATTGTTGCTCTTGTTTTGAAATTTTACACCATTTTTAAAAAATTTTCTTCAAAATGAAATAACTTTGTTTTTTTTAAAAAGTTATTTTCTAAGCTTGTTTTGTTTTAGCATGAAGATTATGGTTTGTGCATTTCCTTTCTCAATCCAGTCTTCCTTATAAAGCAGATTACAGAATTCCTTTAATTTCGGGCAGGAAAATAACACAGTGGATAGCACTGGTTTTGCCAGAACGCACTGCATGACTGTGTTCTTGTTAGAGGAGCTAATGAATGGGAATGCGAGTAAAATACACTGTCACTGTTCAATGATCACCACATTTTGATAGGAATAAAAATCAAATGTGAAAAAAAATGCACGAGAAATTTTGTTTTTTCTGTATTTAGGACAGGGTCTACAGGGGCTCACTAAGTAGATCGGACTTGTAGTGACCTGCCTGTTTTCATAGGTGGGGGAAATGCATCAGAAGCAGTGTCTTATGACTTCCTAGCAGCTTGAACAACTCATCAAGTGCCACACCCCAGAGATGAAATGGAACCGTGGACCTCACCTGTAGTTTACTCAGCTTCTCAAGCCCTGGGGTTATAAGCGCATGCTACTACGCCCAGTCTCAAAGCCAGGGATGGAACCCCGGCCACTGGGTCTGCCTAAGCAGGCCCTTTAGTCAGCTGAGCTATCTGGCTGGCCTCTGCACAAGGAATTTTTATGAAATATTTGATTTTTGTTAAAATCTGATCAGATTATGTTGAAGTTTACAATCTATGAACAATGTTGTTTTCCATTTAGTTGACACTGAATAATCTCATCTTTTCCATGTTATAAGAGTATTAGACTACAGAAGCTAAACATTTTACATGTAGATAATAGCTTTAAATATTATATCAATAATAAACTTAAAGAAAGCCTGCTTCAGCAGGCAGTCACCATTTCTTTGTTCACTGAAAATCTTTTAAAATTGGCTATTCATTATTTTTCAGTATGACAATAACAATTATAGGTAGAAGATTATTTAAAGGGAGTACTTAGTGCCAGCCCAGTAGCTCAGTGGGGTGCACTGAGACTGAAACTGGGTGTGGTGGTCCGCGCCTGTAATCCCAGTGTTTGGGAGGCTGAAAACAGGAGAATCATTATGAGTCCTATCTATGTAGTGAGAGGCTCTGTAGACCTGTACTAAATACGTTTAAGAATAAATAAATACATAAATAAAGGGAGTTCTTAAATGTTGTATGATTTCCCAATGAAAAAACAAAGAACTCTTTACTTTTGCTTAACAGTGTCTCTGTTAATATTATTGCAATATTAGACCATATTTGCAAAGGAAATAAAAACTACTTGCAACCTGTGCAACACATGATATTTTCAAAATGGCAAAAAGCCTCTTGTATGAAATAGATTATAAATACATTTAAGAGAGTAGTTTATTTTTATATTATTTAATGAGGCTTTAATTTTGGCCTTAAAATGAAAATTAAGTCACAGATCATAATTCTAGCCAGTTTTTGTAGGATGGTTCATTAAGAAATATAAAATCTATCATGTTTTTTTTCAAAATTCACAGTAAATACCTAGAAGTATGTATATAGCAGAGACATAGTCTTCATAAGTTGAAAGCAAAATTGCACAACCAAGGCTACAGGCATCACATTCCATTCACAAAGACTGAATGATCTCAAAGAAAATCAGGTCACTCAGTTTCATTTCTAGGTAGCTCAAAGTGCAGATTTAAGGTGTTCTGAGGCTAGTCTTAGAAATCCAACATCACTTTCCTGTATTTATTTCTTATACTCACCTTTTCAAAATATACGAAGTCCTAAAGAAAGATAAAAAACACAGAAGTAAGTTTTCAGCCATTCGAAAGTGAGTTTTCAAAAATCAATCTCAGATACGGAAAGCGAAGGGAACAGCTTACACTCAGTAGCATTCCAGTTACATAAGATATTAAATACATAAAGTGGGGAAAAGTTGAGAGCTACTCAAACTCTTTCCTCACCTCTCCAGTTGAATACCATTTACATTCTTTACGTATCTGCTGATACCTATATAAATTTAATTAATTGCTTGGCAATTGCTCTAATATCACTTTTGATATCCTTTTATGTTATTCTTCCTCAGTGTTTTGTTGTTCTTTTCTAGTGACCAGAAAGCCATTTATAAGTTTAGGTAACTCTTCTTAGGGTAATGGCATCTATGTTAGAGGAAGAATTCAGTACAGACAGAATTTTTCTTGGCTCAGGATTAGCAATTTGCTTATAAATTTATCTATTATGCCACAACCTAATTCACTTCATGATTATTTAACTAGATATTTAACTTTCTTTATTGAGTTCTATTAAATCCTTTGAATTTAATTTTTCTCAAATCTATTGTGTTTCTTATCCTTTCAGCAGTAGTAACTTAACATCTTTGCCAATCTCTTGCATTTCACTATTGAAATTTTACCTTCATTCAATCCATGTCCCTCAAGCTAGCCAGGATTTCTCTGTCCAAAATTTGGGTTTATGCCTATTGAATTTTACCTAGATTCAAATCAACCATTTAATTAATATTCAATGCTTAAAACCATGTCTACAAAAGTTCCCTAAATCTTAAAGGTGCTTTTAAAATCTATGTGAATTAACACATAAAAATTATATTCATTTATGGGGTATTTTAATACATGTGTATACTTTGGGCTGTTTCAATCAGTAGACCATATTTACCACCTTAAAATTTATAATTTCTTTGTGGTGAAAATATTCAAGATTTCTGTTCTTTTTTAAAAATATATAGTTCATTATCATTATGTGTAGTTGTTCTACTGTGCAATAATAGAACACAAGAACATGTTTCTCTCCTCGAGCTATATCCTTACATGTTCTTGAAAGAAGACTGCAGTCATTTCTCAACAAGCCTCCACCTCTACCAGCCCCATTTCCCATCATCTACTTTCTATAGTTTTTAATATGACCAATTATAGTTCATCATTACTTCTTTTCCTAAGTTCACCTATCTCTCCTCACTGACATTATTTAAAAACAAATAGTTGACTGGGGAGATAGCTCAGTAGAATATGCGAGCACAAGGTCCTGAGTTCAATCCCCAGTTCTGTGAAATAATAGATAAATAAATAAATAAATACAAACAAATACTTGATATGAAGCCACTCGGTACAGAAACAATTCAATACATGTCCCTAAAGCATATGGATTATCTCATTTTTATGTAATATTGATTATCATATCTAGAAACCCCTTTATAGTCATCAAATAGAAAGTCAATGTTCTAATTTTCCTAACTGTCTCATAAATTCATTTTAAAGCAAATTTGTTTGAACTGCTGTGCAAACATTAGTTGTTGTTGATCTTTACAAGTTTGTCACTTGGTTTTATTTTGCACTTTTACTTTCCTTGCAATTTATTTATTGAAGGAACTGAGTTCTTTTTTGTGCATATGTTTGTATTTTGATTTCATTCACAAATCAGTGCTTACCATATTCCTCTAGCGGTTCAGACTGGGCTGAATAGTGTAATCACCTGTGGCTTCTGCACTGATTCAAGGTTAGGACTCATCTGCAGTGATGCTGGTGCAAAACGGACAAGGGTGTGTGTGTGTGTGTGTGTGTGTGTGTGTGTGTGTGTGTGTGTGTGTAGGTTACCCAGGCATTTCTACTAAGCAGTTAATATTGAAAACCTTTGCTGTTCCTGTAATTCTCAACTTTGGCTGCATATTGGAAATCAACTTCTGCTATACAGTTTTCTGATTTATTTTCTTTATTTAACTGAGCAGGGATACAGCTTAACAATCAAGGTTTTGTTTTTATTACTGCATATGTCATATACCCTTTCTGTATTCCTAATAGTCTGTTTTTTTCTCATTCCTTCCTTCACCATCCCTTCCTCTCTCCTCTCCTTCCTTTCCTCTTCCTTTCCCTTCTCTTTCCCTCCTACTCCTTCTCTCTTCCACCTCTGTCCTTCTGACATTTCTTTTTCCCTCCATTTTCCAAATGAGACACATGACATTTGACTTTCTAACTCTGACTTACTTCATTAAACATGTTGGTATCTCATTGATAGAAGGAGATTTTCCTGGGAATGGCATGACTTTATTTTTTCTGGCACTTGGGTTTTTAAACTTTAAAATCACTGTTTCAACTTACATATTTTCTACAAACCTATAGACCTGAAGCATTATGTATATATGTTCCTATTGTACTTCTACAATAGATGATTTAATAGTAAACCAGGGCAAGCTATCCATTTCATTTTTTTCCAATTAGGCTCAGACTCAAGGTGTTACCCCAAACACTACTTTCATGTTTTAAAGTGAATGTTTTGAGATAAGCAATTCTGAAAAAAAAAAAAAAGTATAAAATCTTCTTGGCTTGTAAAAATGCAGACTCCAGACAGAAACTGTATATCTCAACCTGGAGCATCAATGTCAAATGGAATTTCAGAACAACAAACAAAGGGGAATCATTTTATAAAACAATCACTTAAGAGGATAATTTTAGAATGCATAGCTTACTGAAGCTTTTGAGAGAGAAACTAGAAAAGCTCTCTGTGAAGCAAGATGAGGAAGAATGGACTTACAATGAGCAAACATGCTCCAAGCATCACAACCTTCAACTTCACATCAAGGCCTACACGAAACTTGACAGTAAAGTTATCAGCGTTTGTGAAGAATTCTTGAACAAAGCCAGTCCAGTGCTTGGAAATCTTCCCAACTACAGATTCTTCATTAAGCGATTTAACCTATATTGCAAAAATAAAGTCTGAAAGATGTCTAGAGAAATATCCAATTTACTTCAAGTGTTGGAATAAAATTTTAAAAAGTTGTATTAAATTTATATCCATATGTAACTATGAGCTATAATTCTTATATATGTATAAGATTATATAATCCTATTATTCATATATATATAATATATATTCCTATTACATAAAAAACTGTTTCATTGTACTGACAAGTAATGTGAAATGAGTTTTGCTGAAATAATTAACATTTTATATTTTGCACTAGAAAAGACAATGTTATTTTAATTGATCCAAAACAAAAATCTAAGAAATAAAAACAGTTTACAACATTTATTTGATAAAAGTTCTAGAAGCCATGAGAAAGATAACAAAATACTTATTATATTTCTATTTTAAGAGATGTACGCAGAGTTTACATAGGTGGCAAACTGAAAAGTGATGGGGCAGTCACTATGCCAACTGCCAGAGGAACAAGGAGCACGCTAACAGCCTCAAAAGCGATGTCATCAGTTTTGAACATACGAAGTAACCAATAGACAACTTGACTGGATATCTAATGGGTTTAAATAATAAAAGAAGAAAGTTGTATGAACAAAGATGCTGAAAACAGTCCCAAAGTGAGTCCAGAGCTATTATATAGTGCAGAGCAGACTGTACACACATGAGCTACACTTGGGATGGTTGGGTAGGGGTGGGACACAACCAATGTCACCGTGCACTGTACACGTAGGACTGTGTTAAATGTGGAGGAGGTGTGTCCTTTTCATAAGTACACCAGGGAACTCGTATGCTAGTAACACCTCTGCTAGCCTAGGAGCCACTGAATAAATGTCAGGAAAAAAAAATTTGACTCATTTCATTCAGACGGACATAGATAATAAGATCTCAAAAGCTCTGAAATATATTTTTAATGTGAATTTGTAATGGCATGGATTACTATCTGTCAAATATTCATTTCATTCCCCATCATACTGCAGGCCCATTGTGCTCATTCAAGCCTGGGTTTGGTCATGCAACGTGTCAAAGGGCAAAGTGGGTGTGACATGAATACTGATCTTCAACATGGCTGCTGACGTGGCTCTTGCTGCCGAGTGACAAGCGACTCAAAAATTATCTTCCAGTCAGTTCCTGTTGTTACAGTGCTAGAATACACACCCTCAGATGAGACTGGAGACCTATTGGCAGGCTAATTTGGAACCATCTACCTGTGCCTAGGTGTATCCTCTGAACTAAAGGAGACTTCCACACTCTCATGTATGAGAATAAAGGCTTCTTGCCTTAAGCCAGTGAGCTTCAAAGATTATGTGACACGTGACACTATCATGGTGAAGTGGTCTTCCCTTACCTATGATAGCATGTTATCTGAAACTGCTGACAATTAAAAATTAAAATGTATTCATGAAATTTTTACATTTAAAGTTGCATATAATTTTTAAATGAAAATGTCTGATAATAAATTGCTAATCATCATGAATCCAACATTACGTTGATAGAAATATTAGTATTTAACTTTTTGATCATTACTGCAATACTTAAAAATTTGAGAAATATTTCTCCAGAAGGACAAAATATATTTTTTGGTCACTGATCAGAAATGTGAAAAATGGTCTGGGGAGATAGATTAGTAGAATAAGCACCTGCCTGGCAAGTGCAGGGTCCTGAGTTCAAACCCTGCTACTGCAGGAAAAAAAAAAAAGGAATGTGAATAATGAACTGCACTTGAAAATCATCAAGACTAGAAATGTTTTAACTAAGTTCTCAATAACATTTCAAAGTATGATATCTCTATCATAAAACATCAATCCCTGGAAATAACAAATTGGCAATTTATTAATGCTAATTTTTTTGCAATACTGGCAATTGAACCTAGAACCATATGCACTCTAATAAAAGACACCCCCAGCACTTAATGTTAAATTTCTTAATTTATAAATTTAATAATTCAATACCAATAACTGATAAATAGTATTCTAAAAAGTCTTTAGAATCAGCTCAGTTTATACACAAATATAAAAATTGAAACAAAGCAGTAGCACATATAACCTAGGTAAATATCAAAAGAATATAACAAAATGTAATATATGACTTTTAAAAAGGAAAGTTTTTTATTTGTTTCCCAATGAAACACTTATATAACACTTAGCATATTCATATCATATATAGATATTGCAATTGTTAATAAATTAACCCTAATAATGAAGATATGACTAGAGGTTTAAAACATAAATACAGGATGGCTTTGGGATAACAATTTCAAATGGGCAGATTTTTTTTTTCCTACTAAAAATCCCTGGAAGGACTCACATGTATGCAGAGTGAAGGTTTCCTCGATTCTCTTCTAATTATTCTTAGGAAAGTCATCTCACAGCATCAACTATTACACATAAGAAAATTCCCTAAACTTTTTATTACATGACTAGGATCCAATATGACTGAAATACAAATCCCTAAGTTTCACATTTAACAATTTTTTTCAATAATTTTGTTGAGAAACAAATAATAATGAGACAGATTCAAATCCTATTAGTAGGACAGCTTCAATAATTAATACATTGCATATTGTTGTCTTAGTGGTTATTCATTGTAAAAGATGCAGACATGATATTCTGTTTACAAACACTTTTAGAACAAATCTTTCCATTCACTGAATTAAGAGCATGTAGCTGTACATCTATCCTATTTTGAATATGTGGATACACAATGGTCGTTCATTTGTATCCCCATTTTTTGTTTAGTTTTGTCACAGAAGGGTATTCCATTGTCATTTAAATATTATAGGTACATGAATTCAGCAAAATATTGCAATATAGTCTAGTAGTCCCTAATAGTAGTGGGTTTTCTGTAAGACTGGCAATGTCAGAAGTTGTTGACTTGAGCCTTTTACAGCTCAGCATATTAATATGGCTTTACTTTTTATACTTCATTTTTACACTTTTCTGCTGGATGGTTGAGACCAAATAAAGTAAGACTTATATAACAAGAAATGTAGCTTTTGTATCTGTTAAGGTCAGTCAAATCCCCTCAGGATGTATTCTGAAACCCTGTACCTCAGTTTGTAGATCCTTTGTCAGTGTCAGCCATGTGGATGAAGCATGGCCATTGCTTGATGAGAGAATGTTTTCTCTCTATGTGAGTCTCTTTAGGCACACTCTACATTATTGATCACTTTCCTCTGTGGCCCCCATATAACAGTTGTTTACCCCTAAAATTATTAACTTGGCCAGTATTATCATTATTTATGTTTCCAAATATGTGACATCAAAATAATTTTTTAAGGTTGATTTTTTTTCTTTTTCCATAATTTTATTGAGAAACAAATAGCAATGAGACAGTTTCAAACCAAGTTGGTAGGACAGTTTCAATAATTCACACCTTGCATACATTCTTCCTAGTGGTTAATTGCTGTACAAGATGCAGACATGACGTCCTATTTACAAACACTATTAGAACAAATCCCTCTATTCATTAAGAGAATGCAACTATATATCCATCCTAACCATTTGAATACACAGATACAAAATGGACATTCATCTGTATCCCCTTTTTTGTTTAGTTCCGTTATTTGAATAATTATATGTGTGTTAACTCAGCAAAATATTCTAAAAGAGTTCAGTAGTCCATAATAGTATTGGGTCTTCTGCTTCACTGGCAATGTCAGAAATTGTTGACCTGAGTCCCCTGCAGCTCAACATAACAGCATGGCTTTACTTTTTATACTTCGTTTTTATACTTTACTGCTGGATGGTTAATACCAAGGTAAAGCAGGACCTATGCAACAAGAGTTGTAGCTTTTTGGTCTGATAAGGTCAGTGAAATCCCCTCAGGATTTATCCTGAGATCCTGTACCTCAGATTGTAGAACCTTTGTCAGTGTCAGCCATGTGGTTGAGTCATGGCCATTGCTTGGCCAATGTGCTCTCTGGGAAGTCCTGAGAGAATGTTTTCTCTCCATGTGACTCTCCTTAGGCACACTCTACATCATCGATCACTTTCCTCTTTGACCCCATAATCTCCTTGATCAGAAAATTTGGGACACAACTGAGTTACAGGATGTTATAGTACAAGTACTCATAGTGACATGAAAATAATAAGACATGACAATTATATAAAATTTCATTTAAATTGATATCAAATAAATTTGGTAGTCATTACAGATAATTGATGCTGTAGTTTTTACTTTTTGTCTCTGGGACAAACCTGGCATAAGCAGCTTAAAGAAGGAGAGATTTCTCTTGGTTCATGGTTACGGTGGGTTCAGTCTATGATTAGCTGGCTCTGAAGCAGTAATGGCAAAGCAGGAGGGCCTGGTAGGGGACAGCTGCTTGACCCATAGCAGTGAGGAAGCACAGAGCAGGGAAACTGTGAGAGAAATCCTCTTCAGCACGTTTCTAGTGAGCCGCCTCTTCCCACTTGGCCCCAAATCCTATGGGCCCCAATTCACTCAGCTGTGAATGTGACTACAAAGCCTATGGGATGCCATAACCCCATTACCTCCAGAAAGTCCAAGGTCTGAACTTATGAGACGTTGGAGGACAACTCAAAGCTGAGTCATTATGTGAGTCATTAAGACACACACTGAGGAAACTTGCTGGATAAAAATCAACTTCTAAACACTAAATGTAAAATCTTTCACAATGTTCCTAAACTGTTTTTGATTACTTCCTAAAAATAAAACATGTCAGCTAAATTTCTGATAATGGTCTTTCACAAAGGAATATTATTTTCTCCAAATATTGAAAGTAACTGATTTTTAAACCTTTCTAGATGTAAGATAGGTATGCCATTCCCTCCATGTAGAATTTTACATACCTTCCTATAGAGTGTTTATACATACATATTCCTCACACATCTCTACACTTCATGTATTTTCTTTTTTTTTTTTTTTTTTTTTTTTTTGGTGGAACCGGGGATTGAACTCAGGCCCTTCCGCTTGCCAGGCAAGTGCTTATTCCACTGAGCCATCTTCCCGGCACCCACATGTATTTTCTTAATTCTACT